ATACAATAAAAATTAAATAGACATTGTGGCTAGAAGAAATTGGCTAATTACACTTCTTACAGCTGAAAAGTCAAGTTCTCTTCCCAGGAAATCTTCCCTAATTTCTTTAGGCTATGATCTTCGTTTTTGTTCCTTCATTTTTCTCATTAGAGTGTAGGTTAATGCAAGTCAGGAACCACATCTCTCATCTCTGTACCTCTCATGCTAAGCTTCCTTCCCAAATTTAAATGTGAATATATGGTTACTGAATGGAATACATCAAGCATGTCAAACTCAAAGGATGGCACAAGCCAAATAAATGAGGCATGCAGGCCACGAGTTTGACATGCTTGGACTACATACTATGGATGAAAGTGATATTTAAGATGAAGTCTCAAGAGCTATTCTGTAATTCTATTTTTATAATTAAAAAGAAAAAGTTACTGAATATATGCCATGAACTATAATTGCAATTAAAAAATCAGTACTATATAATCCTATATAATAAAAGCTTAATATGCTAAGTGTCCAGTCAACTGGTCAGCCATTCAACCAATCAAAGCATAATATGCTAATGATATGTTAAGGTTGCTCAACCATTTGCTATGATATGCACTGACCACCAGAGGGCAGACGCTCCAACCGGTATGTTAGCCTGCTGCTGGGATCCAGCCAATTGGTACTGAATGAGACAGGCCGGACATGCCCTGGAGCCCTCCCGCTGGCTCTCCCTGGCTGACTAACCTGCATCCCTCCCCAACCCTTATAGTGCACCGGTGGGGTACCCTCAGCCCGGCCTGCATCCTCACACAATCTGGGACCCCTCAGGAATGTTGGAGAGGTGGTTTCTACCCAATCCAATAGTCCTCTAGTTAAAGATATAAAACTTATTTGCTTACATTTAAGATAGGCAAGATATTTGGGAATTTAACAATCTTTTGCTCAACTACCCATGTTTCTACAATGCATGACAATTAATTTAGACTTAATTCTATAAGTACCCATCAATTTTTAGTCACCTAAACTATGGGCATTGTGTCTGAGCAAAAAATTAATAGCATCATATTTATAAAGAGATGGCATATTATAAGATTCAATAAAACTTTTATTGAATTAATGTGTTCACAAATTTCTGACCATTAAGCAGAAACCAAATGTGAATTTTTCTTATATTATTTCCATGTATAAAGTTATATTTATAATAGAGGCCCAGTGCACAAAATTCATGCATGGTGGGGGTGGGCCCCTCAGCCTAGACTACACCCTCTCCAATCTGGGACCCCTCGAGGTATGTCTTACTGCCCATTTCGGCAATGGACAGTTGGACATCTTTCCCACAATCCAGGACTGCTGGCTCCCATCTGCTTGTCTACCTGCTTGCCTGCTTGATTGTCCCTAACCACTTCTGCCTGCCAGCCTGATCACCCCTAACCACTTCCCTGCCAGCCTGATTGACGCCTAACTGCTCCCCTGCTGGCCCGATTGCCCCTAACTGCTATCCCCTGCCAGCCTGGTCACCCGCAAATGTCCTCCCCTACAGGCCTGGTCACTCCCAACTGCTCTCCCCTGCAGGCCTGGTCACCTCTAACTGCCCTCCCCTGTGGCCTGATCTCCCACAGCTGCCTCTCTACTGACCATCTTGTGTCAGCCATCTTTGACTACATGGGGGCAGCCATCTTGTGTAGGAGTGATTGTCAATTTGCATATTACCTCTGTTATATAGGATGTGTTTTCACAATAAAATATATGTAAGTCTTTAAATTCAGACTTTTCCCTACACTTTGTCTTTTAACAGAAAGAAAATATAAATACTTATTTTCTTTTCCTCCCTCTCTCTTTCTCCCCTACTTCCCTTCCTTCCTTCTTCCCTTTCCTCCCTTCCTTCATTTCTTCCTCCCTTTTATTTTACTTAATTTTATTTATTTTTTATTTTTTTTATTTCATTGTTTTTTCTTTTGCAACAGAGTACTACCTATGGGAAGAGCATTTGTGGTTTCTGCAATGATACTTTCATTTTCACTTGATTTATGTGAGAGTTCTGGGATAATCAGGAGATACAGTGTAAAAAGAAATTGAGTAAGAGGAAATAAATGTGTGATATTAAGCAAATGGCATCCACAAAATTCAAGGTAAAATTCTCAGAGCACATAATATTGTTACAAGCAGGTCTGAGGAGAAATAAAATTATGAAAAGATCAGCCCTAGGGGGAAAATTATGGAATCCAGCTCATCTCCATCATTGCATTTACTAATGTTGCTCCACTTAACCACCTGTCTGCTTCAAGGTTTTCTCTCCAAACCCCACTGCTGCATTCTCTTATTTTTTTTCCTCTCTACCAACTTTCTCACATTCAGCTGTTGACTTTGACTTTGCAGTCCTATCTGATTTTTCAGTTTTCTACTAAATAGCTCTGTCATTTGGGCTCATGTTTAGATTTATTGCAATCCTGTCCATTTAACACATATTTATGAACATCTATTAAATGTCTATATCTGATTACATACAAAGAAAAATAGATGCACTCCTACCTTTAAAAAGATCACAACCTAGAGCCAAATATAGGAAACATGCTTTATAAGAACAAATTTAAATAATGGGCACATTTAAGAAGCACACTTACCACCAAGAGTGCATTTTAGATACCATTGAATGTCATTAAGAATCTTTTATGCCACATTCAAATGCAAATAGAGAAAATTAGGTCCATACAGGTACAAATACATTTCACTCCTAGGAAATATAGTCGATAAGTCCACAATATGCCCCTCTTGGCATAAAAAGCAAAAGAGAGGTATATTATTTGTAAAAGGAATGTGCATTAAACATCTGTTCTATGTAAACAACTAAGAAAAGACCTAATAGAGTCTCCCTGAGTATTCCTTAGAAACAAACTTTTATTTTGATGTTTGGCTGCACTGTTGCAGTTCTGATATCCAACAAAGCTTAGTAAAATGGATATTTTACCTGAAATGGATTTCAAACTAATATGCCTATTATGCCATGTCTAATATAGCATGTTCTTCTCTTATATGAAATGCAATAAGACAGGATTATTTTCACAGAAGTCAGGTAATGTGCTTATACTAGTATTCTGTAATACCCTGTGATTACAGAAATATACATTCATGTTGCAAGGACTACTAATTTATTTTATATAAAATTGGAATTATCTCAATGACATAAGATACATGTGTTGACATTAGAATGGGGAAAACAAGAATTTGGGGCAAATTTAAAATGATGGGCTACTTTCACATAGTATAGGATTACTCTATGTTTCTTATACTCTCTGACTCAGAACTATTACTATTTATGTCACAGAGACTTAGTTATATATTATAGTTAAGGCAATAGAGAGTACACATGTTGTTAATTTAGGGTTTGATAACTTTCTAATATGAAGAATGGCAGCATGCCCAGAACTGTCATTCATATTGACTCTGGATAAATAGCATTGCCTGAAGTTGGGCAATGCAGCACCTTTGTGGTGTCCACAGGTATACTGAATGTTTGATTGAGCTACTTTATTCATAAATGAAAGTCTATAGTTATTAAACAATTTATGCTGAATAGTATGGGTGACATTAAATAATAACATTGCTTGGTCCAGAAGCATATAATGAGCATGTAGAGACAGATTACCATTTCTCTTTTTAACGGCCAGTTTTCTACAATCTAATTTTTGTATCTCTGTAGACTGGGTTGCACTTATTTTGTGATGAAACAGGAAACATATTAGATGTACTTTCCTGAGTGAGAATCTTGTCTCCATCTGAGGGTGCCCTGTGGACTTCCAATTACGGTGTGACCTCAACCACTTTCTACTCTGCCTTCCTTCTGCTGATTTTCTCTGGCATCTGTCAATTATGGATATCTTTTCTGTTGTTGTGACCATCAAGGTCTCTAAGGACCCACCTCATCGTGGTTCCTAATGATAAAGTGGTTCTTACTCTTGCTTATTGATGTAGCAAGCATCAGTAATATTAATTTACCAAATAGCTCTAGGATTCCTCTTAGACTGAGAACTACTTATGTTAAAACAATACCTTGATAAATTTCTTCAGATATAAAATGTTGAGGCTTGTGGGGCATGTCTTGAAAAGTGACTAGGTAAGAGTGCTAACAAATATACCTTGTATAATAAATTAATAGGATTTTTAGTTAGGAATAAACAAAAGGAAAGAGGGAAGTGGTCTACAAATCAAGGAGAAGAAAGGAAAAGTCTATAGAGATAGATCCTTAGAGATAAATTACATAGTTCAGGCTAGTTACATAACTTTTATGACTAAAAATATTTTAACATTAAATTTTAGTTGTATAAATTATCCTAATATAAAACCCCCAATCATGACCAAATATTTATAAATACCTATTAATCATATAGTATTTATTAATCTTATTTTAGAGAATAAAGACTTGAAGTAGTAATGTTCAGAATGGGCTTTGAGTGAGGTTACACAGGGCCAGTAGGCATGAAATGGTGAACTACTCCAAAATCTAAGTCAAGCAGAAATAGGAATTTAAAGACAGATTATTAGAAACACATATCCTAGTCCCAATGTGTGCCAGAGCCAGGTTGCATTGGTTCAAGAAAATTAATTACTAAATTTTCAGAGATATTTGTTAAATATAGCCATTATTAAAAAGTAAGTGACAAACATAACTAAATAAATTGTATTAAAGACAGAAGTATTAAATACTCAAAACATCATCTTCTAATCATTCTATTACCTATTAATAGTACTTGATGTTCTTTGTGTTCACTGCCATCAGTATGGTAGAAATACAGCATAATGGTGTGTGACTGTATATCTCTTCACTTCTCCAGATTTAGTGATGGCATTCTGGTAGCTTGAAATTGACCATGATACAAGTACATCATAGACACTGGTAAGTGCTATAAAATAAGGTATTTTTGTGGAAAGATGGTTGTTAAATATTTACTATTAACCATTGCCCATTCCCCCAGCTCATATGCAAAAATGTAGAGATTAAGTGGTAAATTAAGTGGTATAGAGAATTTTGAAAGATAAAGGAGAGGAAAACAAATTTTCAAGAGACCAGGTAACCCCGATGAAAGCTAGGTTGCACATACATTTCGTAACTTCACTCTGTACTTCATTTATTGACTCCTGAATCTTAGAATCAGACCTTTAGATCTGTGCTTTTTGTGGTCCATAAATTCAGAACCAATTGTTTAAGTTCTACTGAAATATCTTATTTTTAATCTTTATTTTAATAACACAGGTATTTTTAACCCTTCCTGAGCCTATTTAGTAATGTTAAGGAAACATTTGCTTGCTTTTTTTAAAAAACAAAGGAGATCATAAATCTCTACATTTGTTAATGATATTTAATAACTTTCCATTAAATTAATATTTTGATTATTCCCTGGCTTTGCATTATATTTTAAAAACTATGCTTAATGGTTTTAAATCTCCTCTCTGTTGATTATGTGAGCCCAATAAGAGCACATAACAGATTTTTAATTATTAGAGCAGTTATATCCTCTACATTATTTTCTCATCTTCTATCTCCCCAGTTTTCCATAGCTAGTAACTACACTACAACTTGCAAGTTCCAACCATCACTGTTTTATGACCTTTGATGAAAGCTAGAAAGCAGCTTCAGCCTCCTTATTGATCATGTACTGAGTAATTCTCATAGTTTTATAAATGGATGATGCAGTATAGGGATGGAAGGACATGAGCTCTAAAGCTAGAATGCTTGGATTCCAGTACTTGCCCAGCCACTGGATAACCAGCTAATCTTGAGCATCTCTCTCATACTTTCTGAGGCATAGCTTCCTCATCTACCAATTATGAACAATGGTGGAATGTAATTCCTGGGTTTATTACTTTTCTGCATTCACTGTAACAAATTTCTGCTTAAAACTATAGAAATTCAACTTTTCACAGTCATCAAGGCAAAAGGTTGAAAATCCAGGCATCAGAAGTTGTATACTTCCTCTAGGTGCTCTAGGGGAGATTCTGTTACGTTACTCGTCTGGTAGTTGTTGACACGGCTTGGCTTATGGCTGCATCAGTCCAATCTCCACCTCCAGTGTTATACTTTCTCCTCCTCTTCTCTCTGTCTTTTCTGTATCTCCCTTAAATGACCTAGGACCCACTGCACAATTTGTTTTCCTCAATATCCTTAACTAAATTACATATGTAAAGACCTTTTTCCCAAAATAAAAAACATTCACTGTTTAGGGATAAGGAACATAGCTTTCAAAGGTCCACCATTCAACTCACTACAATAGAATTGTGAGGAGTCAACAAGTGAATGCAGGTAAAATGCTTAAACATTTCCTAGTTCAGAATAAAGGATCACAAAATATTTCCCCCTTTCTCATTCTATTCTACTCCATCATCCTCTTCCTTCTCCCTTCTCCTCTACTTCCTTCTTTTATCATTGTTTTTGAGGCCTTATCATAATCACTAAGTTTTCAGATTTAGTTCTGTCACAGGATTCAATTCCCAGTGGGATCCTTCAGTGCTTCCCAGCCAAAGCTGACTTCAATTTTTATTTTGGCATTTCTAGAGTAGAATTCTTCAACTTGAATCACTTCAGTTTAAGCAAGAATCTATTCTTGTCCCTGTTCTTGAGTATCTGTCTGATAGCGTGCCTAAGAACACCTGTCTCTTAATACATTTGGTGTCTTGTTCTTTCCAGATCCTGAGAAACTACCCCTTAGTCAGAACCACACAAGCCACACTTCTGAATGTTTCCAGCAATAACTACAATTTTAAACAACTGCATATTTTACATTGTACACACTTCTTTTGGTTCTCTTTGCCAGAACCTAGCCTCTAGATTTTTTTGCTTGCCTGACTTTTAAAGACTCAGTGATGATCACATTCTGAGATAACAGTATGCCCTGTATTATGTATTTTGCCCTCCTGCATTCTATGATGCCAATTCAAAAAGAAGGAATAGCTACTGTAGTTTCTGACTTTTCCTAGTAGGTGAGCCTAGAGAACTCTGGCTTCTCTGCCCCATTTCATGTTTAGGAAAAGAATGCTGGTTGGCACTGGGCAATCTTGAGACACACTACACTGGCCTATTAGTAACTAAGCTAATTTGCAAACACTTGTGCATTTTGAATAGAATAGAATAGAATAGAATAGAATAGAATAGAATAGAATAGAATAGTTCAAGTTTTCTTAACATTTTGTGGGCTTTACTGATATCTGAGAAATAAGGAGGGAATGGTTTGTAACTAAGATAATTTGAGTTCCCAGTTACTCAGAGTCATCCATGAATTAAATTAAAGCACATGATTATTTAGAGGCAAATTAAATTTGACAACTCCTAAATTCAAAAAAAAAAAAAAATAACCCTTCTCCCCAAATTCAAGAGATATCTCTTTTTCAAGGAAATGGATAATCTATACCTTGCATACTTTAGAATCATTTCAGCATTGCACAACCTGTTTACTAATCTAAATGAATCCTGCTGTATTTGTTTTAATGCTTTGACTCTTTTTTAAAAAAAAACATATTTTATTGATTTTT